GACTTGACTTCGATTGCGTAACCCGTGGGCTACGAAGTTTGGGTCCCTATATAATGATACATTCACATATGCAAAGAACCCAATTAAAAAAAAATAAAAAACTCTTTGATTAAGGAGTCCCAAATGGCTACGATTTCATATTTTCTTGTATTCATCATGTTGATCCAGGGAACAATAATTTTCTCAAATAGCATTCCCATGGTTGAAGCCTCCCGAGGTTTGGCTTTTCTTGAGAACCTTACTCCTTCTCCTCCTCTTTCTCCTCCTCCTTCATCCAACCCTACTCAACTTGCAAGGGCTTTACCATCAACACCACCGAGCCCCACAGCCAACCGTCCAAGCGTGGATGGTAAACGAATTGATCCTTACAAGCATCGTCGATGATCACTTCTGAAATAACATACACACATCTACTAGTATACCTCATGATTTATTATGAGCATATATCTGGGATACTTTCCTTTTTCGTGCAAGGCTTACGTTTCTTTTCTTTTCTTTTTAATTTTTGCAAGAATTAAATTAAGCATGTACCAGACAAGTCTTTCAACATCTCATACGTATGTTCTTATGCTTTTGGACTTTGGGTTTTGTTTTTATTACTTCTTTGTGAGCATTTAATTAAAATTTGTTGTAAATTAAATAAGAACAAGTAAGAAAAAGGGTTCTCATTGGATTCATAAAGAGCAAATGGTTAAAATATAAAATAGTAAATTCAAATATAATTGTTATCTTCCAAAAACTAAATGAAAGAAATCAAACATTTACACAAGAGCACAAAAAATTTATATAATTCGATTGTTTAATGATTTACGTCTATAGATAGAACGATAAAAAAAATTCAATAAAAAAAATAAAATATTATAAAATTAATTTCAATTTCACAACCGTTATCTCACTCATACTCAAATCTGTCCTTCTAAATCTAGGTGCTCACTAAACTCTCTCTTTACTTATGATATTCTTTAATATCATATGATACTTTTATATGGTAAAATACAAAACTTTTTTTTCTGAAGAAAACTTTCAGGAGCCCATTTTATTTATTTATATGATCGGATTGTAGTATAAAGTTTAATTCCTCTGTTTTCTTTTCCGGTACTTATGAAATCCCATTGAGCTTGAGCCACATGAAGAGAGATGTCCAAAATTTAATCCCTTGTAACTCTATATTCTCATTCTTTTTTCAATAAACTGTGCCTAAAGAGAATCAACTGTCTATTGAACTATGCAAGTTAGTCTTCAAAACGTCTGAACCAATCACTAATTGTTCTAGAGAACACTCTAGTTTCATTCAATGAGAGGGTCTTAATATTAATTAAAGATGATCTCAACAAGATATACTAATCCAATTAGAATTAAGTATTCTATACTAAGTAAAATTCACAACTTTAAATCATACAATTTCCCCTTCTCGAACAAATTTTGAGTTTTCTTTGTTAGTCAAAGTAAACGTCAATTGCTTTGCTTTTATTTTGTCCCAATTGGCTTGTGGAACAGGTACAAAAAGAGTGGCTATTGGATATTGACACCGCCATGGCAAACATAATCATTCCTTAATATCGTTAGGCTACCCAATTACGAAAAAAAATGAAGGTTAATAAGGATCGTTAATAATATCGTTACCAATCCACCATCCAATTTGTTTCAATGTAATTGCACTTAACATTTGTAATTGATTAACCTCGGACTAATTAATTGCAAGTAATGTTCTTGCATTCAAAGAAAAGAACTGGACTGAACTCTGGTTGTCTGCCACCGAGTTTAATTTGGAAACCTCCTCCTCTGCAATACGGTTCACATAAGATTTCCACATAACTTTGTCTCTATTGGCTGCTGTGAAACCGATGGTCTACCAATTCAGATTACTTTGTCCTTCAATCACTTTGTCAACACCAGCATCAATTAAAGAATTCAAATTGAATTGCAGATCAAAGTGTCATACTGTATTAAGCTTGTGAAGCAAAGAGAACAGAACAATGACTAATTACGTTTAATTGAACCAATTGATAATCGTGACTTGGTTTCAAATTTGTGTCAAAATCAATGAAACATGTACGTTTGCAATAGATTGTTCCATGACTAATTGGCTAATCGCAGAGAAATAGCTAGTGTTCTTGCCAGACAAACAGAAACTAAAACAAAAATAAATAGCTAGTCCAGAAAGTAGGCTGTGTGGCACTAATTCAAAGTCTATAAAATGGATCTGATTTACATTGGAAAACAAATGCAAAGCAGTCTTTGATTCTTCTTAATTTGAATATCAGGGCAATCTCAATGGCTTTCATTTTTTTTCTTGTTCTCTTGTTCATCCACTTCTCCATATTATCAAAATTTATATCAACCTTCAACAATGTACCCATCAGAGGCTGTATTGCTTTAGCAGAGAGATGACATGGACGTACACCAGCGAGACAATATCGACCATCACTGTCACGACGTCTTAAGCCGCCGCGAGCATCACGAGCATGAATCGGACAGCACTACCATGAGTATGTGCATCTGACCCTTGCGCCATGAATGTATCTGCCGCCAGGAACTGGTAGATGTGTCATGTACTATTATATGTCACGGTCTTTGCTAAGATGCCAATTGATTAACATGCTATGGCCTTTTGGTAAATAATATATATCCCATTTTCAAGAGAAGGATATATATTTCATACCTGAACCAATCATTAAATAAGTTTTCTGGTGAAGAGAAAAAGGTTAAAAAAACCCTACTTGAACATAAAATATATTTTATTCTAGATGAATTTTGTGAAGACAATTATGATCACTAAGCGTATTACTATAGTTTAATTTTTTTGGATTTTTAAATGATCTTTATATTCAGTCATTATTAAGTGACTTAATAATTAACACTCAAATATTTGGTTCATTAATTGATATATACACCAGCAAAATCAACATTTCAGATTTAAAAGAGTAAACATAAAAAATTTAATATTTCTAGGGACGAATTATAAAATATTTTCAAAAATAAGGGTAAAATTATAAAATTTTAAAACAAAACAAAGACAAATTATAAATTTTTGAAACTTTGAGAGGATAAAAACAAAAAATTCAATATTTGAAAAGACGAAACTATAAAATTTTTTAAAAAATAAGACAAATAATAAAATTTTAAAATAAAACAAAGAAAAAATTATAAATTTTTGAAACTTTGGGAGGTGGGAGCTCCTACTAGTCCCCTCTCTCCGTCTTCATTCCTTACATAAAGAGTAAAATTTAAAATTTTTTAATTAAAAAAATAAACAAATAATTGATTATTTTTCCACTGGGGAAAGAGAAAAAAAGGCAGTTCAACATCTATTACATAAATAAAAAGGGCTTCCTCCTCTGGCCACATGAAGACCATAGAAGAAAAGAAAAAAAACTACTGAAGAAAGAAAAAACATGTAGAAAGAGGCCCGTGTACGAGCCACAGGCCATAGTCGAGTAAAGGCCATTGAAGATCCAGGGAGCTGAAGGCATAGTACTAGGCCCAACGCTGCATACCCCCATCCCAACGAAAATAACTATGGAGTATTGACACATGCATTAGGGAGAAGGGCTTCATCCTTCAGCAGCCATCTCCGACCCAATGTAGTGGAACAGCTTCAAATCCATAGAAAGAAAAGAACCAAAAAAAAAAAAAAACTGATCGTGGCTTTCATTTTCTCCCTTTTTTTTTTCTCGAGGAGAAATTGCGTTTTGATTTTTGATTACACAATTCTTTCAAACATGCTTTAATCTGGCCAAGTGGCATTATAGCTTTCTTATGTCTGCTTTTCACCATGTTTTTTTTTTTTGTTTTTTGCCATTTTGAATGTGCGCATGCAACTTAATTTGTTGAGTTTGCTTAAGCTGCCTTTGGTCCAAGTCAATATGAAGCATGCAGATTTATGAGGTCTTCTTTTTTTCACAAGTCCCTTGTGAAACACTGGTTCAACTTGTCCTGATAATTGCTGAACCGTACTCTTATGGCCACATGAACATTTTGGACCATGAATTAGATCATGAATGATCTAAATCAACTTTAAACAAAATAAAAGATGAGATGTTGATATATGATATGGGAGGTTGGGGACAATTCAAACAAACGTTGATGTTCCTTTCTTTTTTCTCATTTCGTTTTTTATCTTTACTTCAGTTACCCAAATTTTTTGACCAAATTCTTAGTACATGGTAAAAAAAGAAAAACTTCATTTATGATAACATATGATATCTTTTATCTAGAGGATTAAAGTACTTAATTACTTGATTTACACTTTTTTACCTTTAATGTTATAATATTTATCTGTCTGTTACCTTACACATGCCATGGTCACATGCATCTATGTGTTGCTTTCACTCTCTTTTCATGCTATATGAAGTGATTTTTTTTTTCTTTTTACTAGCTAGTAATACATTTAACAATTTAAATATTTCTTTTAGTTAGACTTGCAAAAAAAATTACTATTCCCTCACTGATCACTACTCCCTTGCTGTTGTTATTCTCTGTTCGTCCCTGTTTTTCGTTTCTCTAACACACTTAACAATTTAAATCGATCTTAACTTTAAAAGGATTGAGATTTCATATTTGAATCTTATTTTCTTGTAATTTTATTTTTGATTTTACCATGTATAAAATATCGTGAGGAATCAATTTCTTCATTTCATAAATTTTGTTCAGATCTTGAACTTCATTATACTGTAATTTCATATATTCTCATCAATATAATTTCGATTATCTTTCAAAAAAAAAATTATTCAAGACACATATAGTGGTTGTACTGTAATTGATTTATCATAGAGAAAAGAAATTGACAATGATATTTAATTATTATCTTTTAAACATTATCTAGACAAATCAAATCAGTTGCAAAATACATCAAATGTAATCCCAGTTGTTAATTACAATGAATTGATAACTGAGACAACATTGTCACAATCAAGTTCCATCTTAATGGAACAATGATAAAGAAACCTAGCAAATAATGGTGTTGGCCACTTGGCCAAGTTGACATACAAAATTCTATGTCCCACAAAAACTTTAATCCTGTATCCATCTTCAGCATTTACAAAAGACAATTATCCAAGAGGAAAAAGTCATCGTCCTCAACATCTCAATGTCTAAACAGTAAGGATATAAGAAAGGAAAAAGGAATTAGTTCTTCCAAATAATTAATTCTCAAGCTTTACCAAAGAGTAGAACTCTCGGATATGCTAAGAAGTTCCTCCAAGTAATCAGTTCCTAAATCCTCCAACACCACAACATTTTCCGTACTCACTTCCTTCTCTTTCTTGACTTTCTTCATCATCCCTTTTTTGCCCTTCAAGGAGTGCCTTTTCTTCATTGTTAAAACAGGTGAACACCCTTCTTCAAATCCATAGTTCATTTCTTGAAGTGATTCGTAGACCTTCTCCATTGGAAAATTTAGTATAGCCAAAGAACCCCGCATTGCCAATGCAGCCTGATCATAGGCTAAAGCTGCAGCCTCAGCAGTATCAAAGGTTCCAAGCCAAACTCGAACGCCATTTCTTGTGGAATCCCTTATTTCAGCTGCATATTTTCCCCAAGGCCTTCTCCTGACTCCTCTGTAAGATATCTTGCCGGTAGACTCCTCTTCATTAGCTTTTGAGCTTACTTCATCATCTCTGGAATTATTAACCGATGCGGTGTCGAAGGAGCTTGCTGGGGCTTGGTTTAGGACTCCTAAGAGAAGCATCTCCTGGGAGTCATTTTCGTTGAAGGGAAGGGCTTGGCTAGGGGGATAATTGAACGAGTCTAGTGACAAATTTTCTTGAGAAACGTAGGAAGAAGATGATTCAGGAGAGAATTGAGAATATGGGTATTGGAAGTACGAAGAATCCATTGATAAAACTTGAGATTATTTTCAGGCTTTAATTTAAAATTCTTAATTCTTCTCTTTGAATATGGTATTTGGTGGTGAGTGCTCTTCGGTCATAGGAAACACATTTGGAAGTTCAGGGGATATATATAGGCAGAGGGTGAGGGGAAAAACACACCATTTGGAGTGAGATAACAAAGATTTAATTATCTACTCAGATGATAAGGATGGAAAAGTGGTAAAATTACATGAACCCGGGATTCAAACAACATTATTGGGTCGTTATTGGACCCACGAATGATGTTGTTCCACGTGAGTCAAATTAGCAGATGGGCCATGGCGGCGAGGTCAGACGAAATTTTCAATAAATCCTGCGTCAGCTTGATGATATCATTCAGTAGCCAAGGGCTTGCCCACTTGGCACTAGCAGCTACCCTAGGCGGATGCATGGTACCACATCTAAGTGCCCAAAGTCCAGTGTTGAAAGTGCTTGTTTCACTTTGGAATATACAGATAATGTATCTGAATGTACAACATCTGAATAATGTCAAATCATATTCAGAATAAGCGATTTGCTTTGGGTTTTTGTCAGCTTATTATTGTCAATTTTATGCAGGTTTTACCCCAAGTTCATACTTAATGATCTAGAGATGTCTAAAGATTTTAAACTCCAGTTGCAAAAGGGACACCTCTACATGGATCTTACATAGATGAGTCGTTGGAAGATTAGCCTCTTCTAATATAATTCTTTACCAGACAGTGCATGCTTAACCATGGGCATCACAGCTTTTACCTTTTTAAAAATACCCCATGGTTGAAAAGCTGAAACATATCTCCAACTTTCTTCCAAAGCAAGTTACTTTATAAGCATTTTTTAATCTTTTGCACCACTATATTGCACGAGTGGGGTGATTTAGACAGTCATACAAAACTAAAAAAGAAAGTGGTCCTGTACAAGAAATTTATTCTTCGGTCAAATTCATTTCCATTCAGCAATTTGCTATCGTGAGGTTATCCCCTCTTTTTTGTGGAGTAAAAACTTGAAGAAGACACAGGGATGGAAATTTCCATTCTATCTCATCATTGCCTCACCAATTTTATTAAGCATTGAGAACCACACTCCTCTTAATTTCTTCTTTAGACCAAGCTCTTAGTTTCTTTGTTTCAAGCATATGCATCCAATTTGGTAAAAGTTTCTAACCATGACAGCAAAGATGTCCAAGTTCATGTTCTAAGTTAAAACAACAAGTGGGCATAAATAAGGTACATCTAAATAATGTAGTGGCCTAGCTATTTCAAGGGTTTGAATAAGTTCAAGGTGCAAACAGGAAAAAAGGTCAATAGCAAAGGAAGAGAAGAAATAAATATTATATTCGATAGAGTGGCCCCCTTTATTAAAATCTTTTGGGAATGTGCATGAACCTCCAAATTTTTACATTGAAATTTGGCAAGAGTTTTGAGCTCCTTTGTCAAAAATCGATTCTCTCATAAATAGCCGAAATGCCTCATACAAAATTGATTTAATATGAAAACTGACAGATTGTTGCTTGACATAGCAGCAACTTGGCCTTAATTTGTTGTGACATGCATTTCCTAGGCGGCGTGGTCAAAGATGCTGCTCGTGTCTATTTTGAGTTTAACTTGGATGTAAATGTAATTGTCCTCAATTCTAATTTTTCATTGTATAAGTGATCAAAATGTTTCAATGCAATTTGACTTATTCAACATAAAAAGTAAGATTATGGTATAAATTCAGAGAATTTTTTTTAAAATTTTATATATTTTTATAATCATTTAATTACCTAATCAAAATTTTGACTGTACTTGTTCATTATGTTATAATTTTTCAACGACTCAATGCATCAAATATTTTTTTTAAAAAATTTATATGATTGTTAATATATATATATATATATACATATATATATTTATACAAAACTGAATCCACAAGGGAAGATGTTTGAAAAAAGTGTGCAAAGAAAGTCGAAATTATCAAGCCCATCAAACAATATTATATGATTTATCATTAAAGAGTAATTACAAATATATGAAGTCCATTTTTCAAGAAGAAAAAACGATAAAAAATTAAATAGTACTGATCCATAGATATTATTGTTAATTAGAAATAATTCAGACGTCAAATTAATTAACTTTCTTATGTTAAATCAAATTCAAAAGTGAATAAATATTCTTAATTTACTAACCCATTTTCTAATCTTCAAAAGAAGATATATAGTTTCAATTTATTATCAAATTAAGAGTTGAACTATGCAAAATTTTCCATGATATAATCATACCAAGTCTAATGATACTTATACCATGTCGTAATAAGCAAATGAGTGAATTCTCTAGGGGTCATGTGTCCCAAAAGCTGGTCAAGAAATAAATTCTATAATGTTGAGCCATTAAAGTGGAGGATGTTTTAATACAATAAAATAATAGGAGATGAGATGGTGCTGTCGCCTTGAGGTGGTCAATCAAACACATTAAAATTAAAATCAAGAAAAATATCTGAAAGTCTTTGGAAGTTGGAAGTTGACACAAAATAATTTGGTCAAAAGTTCCAAGTGAGAGTGATGTAAAAGATTATGGTAACTGGCAGCTTAGTTAATTTAACTTTCTTTGAGGATTTAATCAAGTACTCTCTCAATTACTTTTCCCACTCATCCATAGATTAAGAAGAATATGAATTAGGTAAAATATACATAAGAGAAGGTGAAAATTTGATATTTACTAATATTAGTTAATTATTTTTTTAAAAATTGTTTAAAGAAATAAAATGTTTGACAAATAAAGTAATGTAAGATTAAAAATATATAATAATTAAAACACAATGTACACTCAGAAATAATTATTATAATAAAAAATCATATATTTTAAAATATATTATCTAGAATTAGAAAGGTGTTTGTGATGACGTTTTTTCTGTGTTTAATTTTTCCTTTCTTGATTTTGTAACAAGTTATATATCATCTTTGATACCAAGAGCAGTTCAAAGGTAATGATGGGAGGTGATAGCCGTCATTGCTCAATTTTTAATAATTGACTCAATTTATAATCTTATATTATTATCCTTTAATCATTTTTTATTAAAATGTTAAATTCGTCACTCTGTAATATTAATTAAATTTGATATTAATTGAGAAATTTTTTTTAATTATTCAAAAATAACAGTTATTTATGTAATTAAAGAGGCGTTTTTCTCAATTTCTGAAAGTGAAAAGTAAGTATCGAAAATAACTATTAGACAAAAACTTGATTATAAGATGGAAACCCTTATGTAAAAGCTTGACGTTGAAGCGAAATCATAATTAATATGTGCTGCAGCTTTCATGATGGGCACTGTGGATAAGCTGATGAGGCTTATCGTCTACCGTAGAAGAAGACAAATTGCTACTGCTTTTGGCTGGCTGTCTTCCTTGACTTGATTTCCAACTATGTTGGGCAGCAAGACCAAAAGTTTTAAGGTCAAGAACGAACTACATGCTTGAAATTTTATGGAAGAATCCAGAATATAAAGAGCCGGCGCACCCTGGATCGGATGACTGTTTCAACTGACCAATTCTGCTAAGCTCTTGCATGTTGATCATCAATGCCGGTTCAAGCCTGGAACGTAACAATGTTTGAACTTCTTCTGTAGATTCAAAGTCGAAGGAAAAATATGTACAGTAAACAGCCTTCAATTAGAATTCCTGACCGAATTAAATGCTGTAGAAATGATCAAAAATGTTGTTGAAAGCTCACAAAAAAAAAATCAGAATTCTCTTGACAGTTGAAGAAGCTAGAACATGTTGAATTTATGAAGCATTGGGTGGTTTTAATTGGTTGGACGGTGAAATGAAAATTGCAGAAAAAAAATATGAATCTTTTGTGCTTCTCAGAAAAAAAATAAAAGGAATCTTTTGTTGGCAATTGATCCAATCGAATTTGATGACTATGGGAAAAAAGAACTCATCCAGCAACACTAAAATGACATCCATTAATGCCAGGGAAACAAGGGCCACAAGTTTTAGCAAGCAAAACTTCACAATTAAGATGAGCAAATAACTGTCAACATAATTCAAAGAATCTTGACAAACTACCAGTAATAGAGATCTCTTTCACAGTAATACTGTTTTCAACTTAATATAATTCTATTGTTAAATCCTTGGATCACAAACCCACCAAGATTGATATCCTAATCTTTGTCTGGAAAGATTTCTTCGCATAATTTTTCGACATTCATGATTCAACACTATTCTGTTGATTTTCTTGTAGTGAATTTGGGTAAATCTAAATCCAAACCCAAAGTTATATGAATGAAATGATGAGCAAATGGAAATTAACAACAACAAAAAAAAAAAGGGCACATAAAAGTCAGAAACCACTGAATATATATTTGCACAAATTAATGTCATTTTCTTTCAGGACAAAAGCTGTGCCAAAATAAGTGTGACATCTTCGACAACCTTATGTCCTCATTCTAATTAAATGTTGAATCCTTCCAACAAAGACAGATGTAGGATATAATCATTGAATGTATTCAGCATTGGCAGCACCGTCCTCTCAAAGACATCAAGTAACAAAAGTGAGAAAATCACATCGCGCTGCCTCTTTCTTGTCCTTCCCTAGCTCAAATAGAACTTCATCAAAATTCAAAATAGTTGCCAACTTGCCTTGGCATATACTGCTTTAAGGAAAAGCCAATTAATTTTCTTGTTTTGTTGAAAATAAAATGAAAAAACTCAAATGATAAAGATGCGGTGAGACGTGAATTAAGAATTTTTAAATTTGAGAAAGAAGTTATTTCTTTTTATATCAAAAAAGAAGCGAAAAAAAACAAATTATCATAAGTGATTTTTTATTTTTTGGATATATTTTTTTAGAAAAAATATGAATTAAAATATTACTATTATATGATTATTGTGGTATTTTTTATGGGAACTCTTTCTAAATTCAAACAACTAGAAAAATTCATCGAGTACAGGAGAATGAAAATTTGTAGACAAGGTTTATAGAGTATATTCAGACATATATTGGGAAAATTCAACTGGTGTGTAATGTTGACAAAATTCTGCATAGCACAAAACTTTGATCCTTCATCATCTCAAAGATTTACAAGTTCAAAGGCATTATCCAACTAAAACATTGCTCCTTCTGCACCATCTAATTTGAATAGGGAGAAGAACAAAAGGAGAAGAGAAAATGCACTCAATTATTCACCAATAAGGAGTTGCACTACTCTCAGATATACTAAGAAGCTCTTCCAAATAATCAGCTCCTAAATCCTCCAACACCAGGATATTTTCCATCCCCATTTCCTTCTCTTTCTTCTTCTTGCTCCCTGATCTTTTGGTCTTCATCGAGTACCTTTTCTTCATTGTCAAAACAGGTGAATAACCTTCTTCAAACCCATAGTTCATTTCTTGAAGTGATTCATAAACTTTATCCATTGGAAAATTGAGTATAGCCATTGGACCTCGCATTGCCAATGCAGCCTGATCATAGGCTAAAGCTGCAGCCTCAGCCGTATCAAAGGTTCCAAGCCAAACTCTAACACCATTCCTTGTGGAATCCCTGATCTCAGCTGCATATTTTCCCCATGGCCTCTTCCTAACTCCTCTGTAAGAAATCTCTTTTCCTGTCTCCTCTTCATTAGCTTGCGAATTCACTTCATTATCATCTCTGAAAGTATTGACGGATGTGGTATCAAAGGAGTTTTCCGGGGCTTGGTTTAGAACTCCGAGAAGAAGCATTTCTTGGGAGTCATTTTCATTGAAAGGAAGGGCTTGGTTTTGGTAATTGAAGTACTCTGGTGAGAAGTTTTCTTGAGAAACATAGGAAGAAGAGGATTGAGCAGGAGAGAATTGAAGATTTGGGTATTGAAAGCATGAAGAATCCATGTATGAAAATCAGGCAATTCTAGTTTATGCAATGATTTCCTCTCTTCTTTACAAACAAGCTATATGGGGTGAATGGCCTTTGGTCATAAGAAATGAAATTTGAAGCTTAGGCCTATATATAGCGACAAGCTAGGGAGGGAAAGGGCTGCATTACTCAAATATTTTTATAACAAAAAAGAAAAAAATTTAAAGAAGGGATGGGAAGAAGGTAAAATTACATGAACAAACAAGCGTCAAACATCATTATTTGGTCGTTAATGGAACCCACAGTGGACGTTGATACACGTGAGTCAAAGGGGACTACCCGTGGGGCATGGCGGCCAGGTCAGATTAAAATATACCCTGACATCAGCTTGATGATTTCACTTTTGTGTCCGGCTTAATTATACCGTATATTAGCTAATTAAACTTGCGCAAATCCATTGCTAATTACCTTAGATCGATGGACATAAATTGATCAATATATGTAGTAGGGATTAACATATGTAGTTATCTTTACTGTCATCGTAATCTTATTTCTACAGAAAAAAAAGATTTTATAATATAATTAATTTAAATTATATCACATAATATAATTCTTATTTTAGTAGCACAATTTTAAATAATCACATGTAATATGAAATAAATAGTTGATTTTTTTTAATTATTATTAGGTGAAGTAATCTGTTATAAACTAAAAAAAATTTGTTAATGAGTTTTCTAGATGGATCAAAAAATAATATGCATAAATGCCCGTTATCATAATTTTGTATGTGATTTGTCTAAGTTGGTTTTACCTTTCCATTCAATTACTACCTTACAGACTTAATTTGATGATTTGCCACTTCTTAATTAGTCTCTAATGTTATTTTGACCAAGTATTGATTGTTTAAACATGGTCATTAAATTATATATATTTTTATACCTTATGATTGATATTTGAAACATGTTTGTAACTTTTTCGTCAAAAAAAGATATAAAAAAAATTTAACTATTATATTGCACGAGTGGCAGTCTTGGATTTACACAATATTCAAAGAGCTTATTGCAAGGAGATTTTCTTCCTGTCAATGCCATTTCAGCCTGTACTTTTGTAGCCTGCTATTTATTTATTCATTTGGTATTTAATCTTTGCTTCATCTTATCCGATCTCCTATTCGGGATATTATTAAAAACTTAGGCTACAAAAAGAAGAATTTCTTCTTGTTTTTTTTTTGTTTTTTTTTAGGACTGGAATTCAAATTTGTTGGACAAAAAATCAAGATTTTGGACTATATTAAACCTATATTATTACTATTTAAATACAAAAACATCAAAATCAAGACATGAATACTTTAAGTTATTCACTTTGTTTAGTAAGATAGATAAGCTTGTTAAATTGCACTAGGGCCAAAATAGCCTTTTAATACAGAAAATAGTGAGATATAGTATATAATTTAACCTTTGCCGAAGAAAGAAAAAAGTATATGCAGCCTCTCTCCCTTTTTTGACTATAAAATCTAGCTATAAGCATTTTCAATTAATCATATCTTAATCAAAAACAACATGTGGGGAGGAAATTTAGAGTGTACGAACATCTCAACTTTAACTAAATCATTTGGAACAGAAAAAAGAAATGGATACATATATTATTGTATAGGGGGCCATGTCTCTTCTTAACTCTTTAGAAATGTGCATGAATCTAAATTTTTTGCATAGAAAGGGAGATGGTTTACGCTTCTTATCATACGAACAGCCTTCAAAAACAATAATTACTTTTAACATTTGGCACGTTGATTTCATGTGAGGGGATGGATTCTTGCTTTATGTATATATATACCTTGCAAGTTGGCATTGTTGTCAAAATTTGATTAGGCAGATCGAAGCCCAAAAAGGGTTTTGTGCATCGAGAATCGAGAATTTTTGCTCTTCAACCAAAGATGGATGAAAAGGATAGATCTAGTTCAATTCTGATTCATCCCCCCCATGCATAAGCACCCATAGAAAAATTGGGAGGCACGAGTGTGCAACTTTAACAATTTATGAAGCAAGAAATCTGGTCATCTCCATCTCCATGCTAATTAAGGTTTCTAGAAACTGAAATTTAACATGGAAACATGGTCTCTACCCGGAACAACAATTTCTAACTGGTATGAATTTGATTATTATGTACATAATGTTATATATTTTTTGAATTGAAATAAGTATTTGTCTAACAAGAAATGATTTGTTATTAAAAAAATTAAAAGTGGCGTGATTGCAATGAAAATACAATAATAACAAAAGTAGGGCCATAATGATTCATTGCATTCTATTTTTATAATATAATATCACTGTTCTATAAAAAATTTATTGGTAGACCAATACAAAGCCAAGCCTGAGAAATTTGCAAACATTCACTTTATAGTTTGATGGGTAGCTAGCTATTAGATCAACTATTTTCTGTATTCAATTACCTCAAATCCCAATCTTTTCAACCCATTAAATACCAGATAACCAAAGTTTAGAATCTTGTATTTCTATATATTTCTATAGTTTTTGGTGTGAAAAAGGTGGTCAAGAAGTGAGTAATATAAAATAGGGTTTCTAAAGTTGGTGATGTCTTTTGTGAATAAAATAACAACAAAGAAATGTGATTGTGATCATGTTCCCTTAGAGGGTTGATCATTCTTTGCATTTTGGAGATTTCATTTCAAACTTCATAAAGTGTTTGAAAGTCTTTGGCAGTTCAAACTTCACATACAAAAACTTAGGTCAAAAGTTGTTAATCAAATGCTTTGGTCAGTCTATAATTTTGAACTTTATTCTAAATTCCCATCATTATTCATTTTTGTTATGCATTAGATTGGGCTTTGAAACTAGCCCATCAAAACTTAGTGTGTAAATTTTACTTTACCAGAGGGAAAGGCCCACTGCAGCACACCTTTGATCATTGTGAACGCAAAGTTTTGAAAGCAAATTTTGAAAACAAGTCCACGAATCATGCTCGCTCCCTTAGTGGCCTCTCAACCACTAAAGTTCTGTAAGCAAAGTTTTCTGCTTTGCTAACAGCACATAACAATTATGAAAATGAATAAGATCAGAAAATATTTCATATTCAGTGGTACCCAAAATATAGGATTATGATTTTGTTCATTCTTTTAAGTTTATCTTCACACCTAGATCACTTCTGATTTTATTGTGAATCGAATCAATTTTTCCATAGTTAGAAAGTACTATAAGATTTTAACAAATGTAAATAAAATTATTGAAAATTCCTTTACCCTAAACCCATCTTGATTGTTGAAATACAATTAAACATCTATCAGTCTTACATTAACAGAGCACAATTACATCAATTTTCAGTAAACTAAAACTTGAAACACCACTTTTATTCTCCCATCAAAACGGAAACATGGAACAAGTAACGAGCGCACAAATCTGGTTATTACTTTGCCAAACGCTCCGAAATGAGCTTCTTCCAGTAGTAGCCCAAAACACGTACAGCTTGCGACCAACATCATCCAGTTTTTGATAGTAAGCAAACCTCCAAGACCTGATGAAAAACAGGGGAGCCACCACACCCCAAAACCCCATGACAAATCCAAGCACTATGCTCACGTAGCCCATTCACCTTAGGCCCATCACTTCTACCTCCAGTTGTAACATTAGGTGTTCCGCCATTTGCACTGCAGTTTTTAGTAACAGGAGGTCCGCAAAGATGATTGCCAATATAAGAAATCTTGTCAAAGCCTTGGAGCTGGGTGCTTGATGGGATTTTTCCTGTCAAGTTGTTGTAGGACAAGTTCAAGTGATTTCGGAAATTCAAATTGGAGAAACTTGAAGGGATTTCACCATTGAGTCGGTTCACCGACAAGTCTAAGAGATTCCAATGACTCCCAGTTGCCAATGTCTTCCGGTGTCTTTCCTGTTAGGAGATTCCCTGACAAATTTAATGATCGCAGCCCAATGAGGACTCCAAATTCTTTGGAGATCTCTCCCGTGAGACTGTTTGCTGAGAGGTCTATGCTGGTAACAAGTGCTAGTATGGTACTGTATTTATCCTTCCTTTCATCACCACCCATGCATCCATAATGGTTGACTTAGGAGGTAAAGAATTGAACTTCATAGAAAACCCATATGAGCCGATGGTTTTGGTTTTTGTGGCCATGGCACTTAGGTTACTGAAACATTTTGGAATAGCTCCTGAAATGTTGTTATGACCAAGGTCCAATATCTGAAGAGAATGAAGAGCACAAATTTTATGAGGAATATGGGCCTGAAAGTTATTTGAACGGAGGTTTAGAACCAAGAGTTTTGACAGCTCGTCTCCAATCCATTCTTGTATACTTCCAGTGAATTGATTTTCACTAAGATCAAGAATTAATAAATCAGCAAAATGCTGAAATGTGGATGGTACTTTTCCAAACAGGCTATTGTTCCGGAGGGTTAATGACCTAAGACGACGCATTGATTCCAAGGATTGAGGAATTTTTCCAGTTAGATTGTTGTTTCCAAAATTCAAGATCTGTAAATTTTGCCAATTTTTCCAACAATCTGGAATTTCACCTGATAGAAGATTTGATTCAATATCAAGAAGGGTCAAAGATTGCTGTGCAGTTGAGGAATTACAAAGAAAATGAGAAAGGGATCCTGAAAATAAATTTTTAGACAAATAAACAAATTAAATCTGGGGATACTCGTGGCAATCGACCATTGAATTGGTTGGAACTCAAGTCAACCAAAAAACTTCCGGCCAAATATGACATCCCCCCAACAAGGTGGTTATGGGAAAGATTTAAATTCCCAAATCGAGTAGAAAGGTCCCAAAACCAAGTGGGAAAGACACCTGAAATTCTTGCATCGGAGATATCTAAAACAAGCAAGTTCTTTTGGAATTGTAACCACTGAGGAAATTGCGGGCCAAGATGCCAATTGCCTAATTCAATAATATCACAGAAAAAAGGAGGAATCCAACTTGAATTTGGTTTGAATGTCAACATGTTGTTTGATGCACTCAAAAGTCTCAAACTTGTGAGATTAGAAAAGTGCATTTCTGAGACATTTCCTTCCAACGTATTGTAGCCAGCAACTAAACTTTCTAAATTCCCAAGTTGTCCTAAACTTTGAGGAAGACTTCCATTTAATTGATTCTCTGAAACATCAAGAAATTTCAACGATGACAACTTCCCTATTGAAAATGGGATGAGGCCAAAAATGGAATTTCCTCGAAGGGAAAGGTATACTAGACTTCTCAATTGCCCGAGCTATTCAGTTAAATGGCCAGAAAGTTTGTTAGCTGCCAAATTCAATGACTCTAATCTATTCAAATTACATTTAGTCAAGATCAAATCTCTCAAATTACCGATGAAATCGGGAATCTGTATGCCTCCAAAATTATTATTGCTCAAGTCTAAGAAACTGAGATGTTTCAAATCGAGCAAAGAAGGATTTATTTTACCTCCTAGCGTTGGTCGGTCGTAAACTACGATCGTAGGGATCACTTCAGCATGATGTGGCTCAAGCTCTTGAGGTCTACTTAAAAGAAGCCCCAAGTGTAGCTCATTAACATGGCCAGTCCGGTTATCGCAAAGAACACCAAACCACCCACAGCAATCCTCTTGATCGCCTTCAACCCAAGAAGATAGCCTGTTGGAATGATCAATGAGATCATGCTTGAACTTCGAAAGGGCTTGTCTCTAACTTTCAATGCAACGCACATTGGATTTCCCATCACAAAAGCTAATACTGGTAGCTGCAATGACAAGAAGAAACGCAAGCCAGGAAATTGTAACCGCTCTCATGGTTGCATACTATCATTATTGCTAGCAACACCGAATATATACAGTAAGACATTTCATCCACATCAAGTTCAAGGAACTCACCAAGGCCCCGAATTTCCACATCAATTTCCTGAGTGGTCCGAGGAAGTAGAGGATTGGAATCGATGCATTTTCCACAAAAGCATTTATAGTGAGTCGAAATTTTCGTTTTTAAAGAAGTTTGCTCTTAATTGCATGGAAAAAAGTGGGTGTGCGTATTGTATTTGAATGAATTTGGCTATATATGAGGTAATCTATTTTTAGTCAAAAATCACCTAAATCTTCTTGGTTATACATTTCAAACTTCGCAAGCTTAAATGTGCAAAAGAAAGAAGTGAAAAGGGGGTAAAACATAAAATCCTGCTTCAGCACACCTTAAAAATATATTTTGAGCCCTCTTGTTTTAAAGTGTATTATTGAACCCTTGAATATTTATTAATTATAAGTATTAATCAACCGTTATTTACAAACATTAAAAATCTTAATTACCTTCAAATAATTGAAAAATAAAAAAATAAAAAAAACTTTCATAATTTAATTTAATTAAATAATCATAAAAGTATATTTTATTCAATGTTTTTCAACTTAAAAAATAAAAAAGAGACACATAATGATAAAAAAGAAAAAATTAAAAGAAGAACCAAATTATTTAGGATTATTTTATTAATAATGGAAAAAAAGTCATAATTTTGAAGTGACAAAACAAAAATCTAAAAAAATTAAGTAATAATATTCTAATTAAATAAGCAATAATTTTTTTATTGTTTTCCTTTTTTTCTATTTTCTCTTTGCTCTTTCCCTTCCTATTAGTGTCGAAAAAGTATAATGGTTCCTTTCTTTTTACTTCCCCTTCTTCCTCTATCTCTGCTAATTTGATCTCTCCCTCCAACGATCTCCTTGCACCATCATGACTACAACCTAAGATCATTATCAGCAAGACATTAACACCATATAGTGAAATTAATTTCTAACAACAACTTAAAAGATTTAAACTTGATCTCACAAGAGTTTAGTTGAGGTTAGATCTATTATTTATTGTTGATGAAGTTAAATTTATTTTCATATGTTTAAAATTTATTAGATTTATCATTTCATTAGAGACGCGATTTTAGTTTAAAACTTTTGTTAAAGTTTGTTGCTATTGGGCTTTACATTTAACAAAAAAGAAAAATTAAAGTAGAGATGGTGATGGTGATCGATACTATAGGAAGTAATAAAGAGACAAAAAAGTGTAGAAAGAGAGAATTCAGAGGACAATAAAGTTAGTGTTGGAAAGGAATACGGGTATTTTTGAATTTTAACATTTTATTGACAATTTGACTATTGATATTGCATGGTCAAAGGGGGAAAGAATGCATTTTTGAAAAAAAAAAAAAAGATTATACTTTAAAGTTGTAATTAGAAAGGTCATTTTTTTAATTAAGAGAAAAGGCAAGTCAAGTCCACCGATTATATTTGAGTAAGTCCCACGACCACGGCCCATGGCTATCCTACGATTTCCACAAAAACATTCATAGTCCGTAGAAATTTTCATTTTGAAAAAATTTCTTCAAATTGCATGGAAAAAGTAAGTGTGTCTAAATTTATAAATTACGAATTTATATTTTCAATTTAAAAAGCATATCTTATAGGTTTCAAGATTCGTTTTATCTACTTCAATCGTTGTATTTCTCATGAAATCTAGTAAGCTTATACATTATGGATTCACGTTTTAAATTAAAAAAACATGTCTGATAGATGATAAAAAACTTATATTTATATATTTAAAATTTATCTAATTTTTTATTGATTTGAGATCTTCCACATACTGTATTTTGATGAATTTGACTATATATAATATGTAAGTTGAGTAACTGTTCACTTAATAATTAGTAATGCATTTTTTATAATAAAAAATTACCTTAATCTTCTTTGCTATACTTTCCAAACTTCACAAGCTTAAACGTGGCATAGAAAAACGAAAAGTAAAAAAAGAAATAAATACGAAAACTTCCTTCAAAACACTTCAAAAAGCAAAAAAACAAAAAGGATTTTTGTTGTTAGAATCAATTTTGTCTTAGTAGAAAATCATCCTAGTTTTCTTCACTATACTTTTCCAACTGCACAAACTTTTTCGGCTACAGCCCACGGTTATCAAGTCAAGTCAATTCTACCGACCGATTATACCATACAATACGCCGTAACGGGATTTTAAATGATCACATATAATATGAAATAAATAAATAATTATTATTACGTGAAGTAATCGTTTCATAAAATATTTTCTTTATTAATAAATTCTCTAGATAAATCAACAAAATAATATGTAAAAGTCAGTGATCATAATTTTGTATGTGATATTTCTAAGTTGGTTTTACCTCTTCACTCGAGTACAACCTTTTTAATTGTTTCCAAGTTCACACTCTGTACAAGCATAGTCTTTCAGCCTTAATCGGATGATTTGTCACTTCTTAATTAGTCTCTAATATTACTTTGACTAAGTATTGATTGCTTGTACATGGTTATTAAATTATATATATTTTTATACCTTATGATTGATATTTGAAACATGTTTGTAATTTTTTCTTCAAAAGGAAGATATAAAAAATTTAACTATTATATTGCACGAGTGGCTGTCTTGGATTTACACAATATTCAAAAGAGCTCCTTGCCAGGAGATTTTCTTCCTGTCAATGCCATTTCAGCCTTTACTTTTATAACCTACTATTTATTTATTCGTTTGGTATTTAATTTTTGCTTCATCTTATCTGATCCCGTATTTGAGATATTATTAAAAACTTAGGTCATAAAAAGAAGAATATTTTTTTAATTTTTTTTCTTGACTACTGAAATTCAAATTTGTTGGAAAAAAAAACAGATTTTAGACTATATTAAAAAAGAGAAACTCTACATAGATTCTTGTGGTATGGTCTTTTCTCACATAGCACCTTGAAGTTATTTTTTTTCATATAAAATTTCGTATTTTATTTTATTTTTCAAATATAGTAACGGTATTAAATTATTAATTAATTAATTTTTATTAAAAGATAGTAACAGCCTCAGTGTTTTAATATTTTTGTTTGTTTAATTAAAAAAAATTATAACCTTTGTTTACGTTTCTTTCTGTTCTAATCTCCTCACATTCTCCCTATCCAAACAAGAAACATATATAGGGAAAAATTCTAAGCCAGATTTTATTAAAATAATAATAATAAACAAAGATTGAACTTGGGTTACAACAGTAGGGGTAGATCTAAAGCTGATTTGATTATCAGCATATTTAAAAAAGAAAAATTCTAGTCAGATTTTGACCATCCGTCATCTTATACCAACATCTTGGCATTGGAAGCAGAACTTTTTTAATTTTGAAGAGACGTGAAAGCCTTTTAATGAATGGGTTTAATTGGAAAGGAAATATTCACTTGGGCATTAAAGCACACTTTCCTGTAGTGATTTGGTGCTGACAGGAAAACCTGGACCCATCGTGCTGCAATTGTGGAAGGAGTTCACATACCCAGCATACTTGGAAGTCTTCTTTAAACCTGCTGGCTTTGGACAAGTGGGATATTTGATCAATGAAGTTGGAATGGTAAGGCCAAATATGTATGTAATTAAGAATTTTGACAAAAATAATGGCCAACATTCATCTTCTTAGATAAATTTTTTTCGATGGATTCTCTGTTTAGGATTAAGAGTTATTTTTTTAATTAAACAAACAACAATACAAAAAGATTAAAACATAAAGTTTGTCATTGTCCCTTTGTAAAAATTTAACTGACAATTTAATATCATTACTAAATTTGGGAAAAAACGTAAAATACAAAGTTTTATATGAAAAAAAAAAAAACCTTCAAAGTGCTATGTGAGAAAAAATCATATCATAAGAGATCTAACTAAAGTTTATCTTATTAAAAGAATATTATTACTATTTAAATATATAAACCTCAAAATCAAGACATGGGTTCTTTAGGTTATCCTCTTTGTTAGTTAGTAAGATAGATAACCTTGTTAAATTGCACAAGGGCCAAAATAGCCTTTTAACATTGACAGTAGTGAGATATGGTACATGATTTAACCTTTGCAGAAGAAACAAATTATTTATGCAGCCTCTTGCCCTTTTTTGACTAGAAAATCTATAAGCATTTTCAAATAATCATATCTTAATTAAAAACAACCTGTTGGGGAGAAAATTTGGAGTGTACGAACATCTCAACTTTAACTGAATCATTAGGAGCAGGAAAAAGAAATGGATCAGCAATAAAATACGACCACAAATTGGATAGGGGTGCCCATGTCTGTTTTTAACTCTTCTGAAATGTGCATGAACCTAATTTTTGCATAGAAAGGGAACTGGTTTACGCTTCTTATATCATACATACAGCCTTCAATAACAATAATCACGTTGATTTCATGTGAGGGGATGGATTCTTGGATGTGTGTGTGTGTGTGTATCCTTGCAAGTTGGCATTGTTGTCAAAAATTGATTAGGCAGATGGAACCCCAAGAAGGGTTTTGTGCATAGAAAATTTTTGCCCTTCAACCAAAGATGGATGAAAATTAAGGATAGAGTTCAATTCTGATTCATTCCCCCATGCATAAGCACCCGTAGAAAAAATTGAGTGGCAAGAACTATGCAACTTTAACAATTTATGAAGCAATTATTCAATTTTGAAATTTATGAAGCAAGATATCTGGTTATCTCCTTGCTAATTAGGGTTTATAGAAACTGAAATTTAACATATGGAAATCATTCAAACATGGTCTCTACCCGGTACAACAATTTCTAACTGGTATGAATTTGATTAATATGTAAATAATATTATATATATTACAAAACAATAAAAGTGGCATGATTGCAATGAAAATAATAATAATAATATAAGTAGGGCCATTCATAATGATTCATTGCATTCTATTTTTATAATATAATATCAGTGCTCTATAAAAAATTTATTAGTTGACCAATATAAAGCCAAGCCTGGGAAAATTTGCAAACACTCACTTTATAGTTTGATGGATAGCTGTTAGATCAACTATACCTTATGCATTCAACAATCGCAAATCCAAATGTTTTCAACCCATGAATTACCAGATAACCAAAGCTTAGTGCATCTTCTGTTGCTATAGTTTGTGGTTTGAGAAAGGTGGTCAAGAAATGAGTAATATAATAGGGCTTTTAAAGTTGTTGATGTCTTTTGTGAATAAAATAAAATAAAAAAGAAAAGTAATTGTGATCATGTCCCCTTAGAGGGTTGATCAATCTTAGCATTTTGGAGATTTCTTTCCGAACTTCATAAAGTGTTTGAAGGTCTTTGGAAGTTCAAACTTCACATACAAAAACCTTGGTCAAAAGTTGTTAATCAAATGCTTTGGTCAGTCCATAATTTTGAACTTTATTCTAAATTCTCATCATTATTCATTTTTGGTATGCATTAGATTGGGCTTTCAATCTAGCCCATCAAAATTTAGTGTGAATATTTTACTTTACCAGAAGGAGAGGTCCACTGCAGTATACTTTTATCATCAATAACCCATTGTGATAATAATGGGCCTCCGAGTACAATACTAATTATGTTCGATCCCTCACTTACTGGCTTCTCATTCAATAAAATTTTGAAGGCAACAGCATATCAAAATTATTGATTTTGTTCATTCTTTAAATGTATGTTTACATTTTGTTCATTATTGATTTTATTGTGAATCGAATCAAATTTCATAATATTTATCAACTATTATACAATTTTAACAATTGTAGATAAAATTATTGAAAATTCCTTTACCCCAAACCCATCTTGATTGTTGAAATACAATTAAAAACATTCATCAGTCTTACATTAACTGAACAAACAATTACATTTATTTTCAGTAAACTATAACTTGAGACACCACTTTTATTCTCTCTTCAAAACGGAAATATTAAACAGGTAAAGAGCACACAAATCTAATTATTACATTACCAAACAGACCCAAATGAGCTTCTTCCAGTAGTAGCCCAAAACATGTACAGCTTATTACCAACATCATCCAGTTTCTGATAGTAAGCAAACCTCCAAGGCCTGATGAAAAACAGGGGAGCCACCACACCCCAAAACCCCCTCACAAATCCAAGCACTCTGCTCACTTAAAGCCCATTCACTTCAGACCTGTTTCTGCCTTCACTGCCACCTCCATTTGTAACATTAGGTGTTACGCCATTTGAACTGCAATTTCGAGTAACTGGAGGTCCACAAAGATGATTGCCAATATATGAAAACATTTCAAAGCTTTGGAGCTGGGTGCTTGATGGGATTTGTCCTGTCAAGTTGTTGTAGGACAAGTTCAGGTGATTCAAGAAATGCAAACCGGAGAAACCTGAAGGGATTTCACCATAGAGTTGGTTCATCGACAAGTCAAGCGACCCAATGACTCCATGTTGCCGATGTTCTCTGGTATCTTTTCCGTTAGGAGATTTCCTGACAAATTTAATGACCGCAGCCCGATAAGATTTCCTAGATCTTTGGAGATCTCTCCTATGAGATTATTAGCTGAAAGGTCTATGCTAGTAACAAGTGCTAGTGTGGTACTGTAATCATCCTCTCTTCCTTTCATCACCACCCTTGCATCCAAAACAATTGTGGTCATACCATCATTCGTGACTGGGAATTCGGTTTTGTTTTTTGTGGCCATGGCACTTAGGTTACTCAAACATTTTGGAATAGCTCCTGAAATGTTGTTAGAAGCAAGGTCCAATATCTGAAGAGAATGAAGAGCACAAATTTGATCAGGAATATTTCCGTGAAAGTTATTTGAAAGGAGGTTTAGAACCACAAGTTGTGAGAGCTTGTCTCCCATCCATGCCGGTATACTTCCATTGGATTGATTTTCACTAAGATCAAGAATCACCAACTCAGCAAAATCTTGAAATGGGGATGGTACTTCTCCAAACAGATTATTACTTCGGAGGTTTAGGGACTCAAGCAAAAGCATAGATCCAAAGGATCTAGGGATTTTCCCAGTTAGATTGTTGTTTCCTAAATTTAAGATTGATATTATCCGATTGTCCCAACAATCTGTATGATTTCTGATACGTCATGATCAATTTCATTCCATGACAAATCAATCTCCCTTAAATTGCAAAGACTTCCCAAAAATTTGGGTACTATTCCTTCAAGCATGTTATCTGAAAGATCAAGGTGACTAACGGAGCTCAAGTTTCCAATGGCACTCCAAATATTACCTTGCAGGTCGATACTTCTAAGACCAAGGAATTGAAGATGGTTTAAATTAGACAACCAACTGGGTATCGATGGTGAAGACAATGAATATGAAAGATCAAAAAATTTGAGAGAAGAAATGTTTCGAAAACCATTATGAATCACACTTGCAATACTATTCCCGCTAAGATCATGTAGGTATTGAGGATAGCATGCTCGATGAAAGATCAAGAACAGCAAGAGATGTGTAATTAACACTGACTGGAGATGGATCATTATTTAGATTGCAATCTGACAAGTGCAACTCTACCAAAGAAGGAAGTTTGTTTGTTACTGTAGCCAATCAGTTGCTTTACTAAGATTTGCTTCACTCAGATCGAGATACAGCAAAGCAGGAAGGCTAGAAACCCATTGAAGAGTTTTAGCTTCTAATGGGAAATTGTGTCCAAGATCAAGATAATGCAACTTCGAGAGATTTGCAAGCTTATCGGGAATTGCTCCTCCGACAGATGCCTTAGAGAGGTTAAGATTTGTTAAACTCTTTAGCGAACCGATGAATTCGGGAATCTGCATGCCCTCAAAATCGTTATTGCTTAAGTCTAGCAAACTGAGATGTTTCAAATCGAGCAGAGAAGGATTTATTTTGCCTCCTAGCTTTGACCGACCGTAAGCTTCCCATACAGCATCTGGCGCATGCTCATCAGGAATAAGAAGCCCCAAATGCAGCTGATAGACATGGCCACTCCGGTTATAGCAAAGAACACCAACCCATTTACAGCAATCCTCATGTTCACCTTCAACCCAAGAAGATAGCCTGTTTGATTCATCAATGAGATCAGGCTTGAACTTCAGAAGGGCTTGTCTCCCACTTTCAATGCAAAGCACATTGGACTTCCCATCACAAAAGCTAATAGCCGTAGCTGCGATTACAAGAAGAAATGCAAATAGGGAAATTGTAACCGCTCTCATGGTTGCATGCTGATCACTGCTAGCAACACCGAATATATTATATATAGTAAGTTAAAGAAAAATGTTTTGCACCACATCAAGCGCAAGGAACTTTCCATGGCCCCGAGTTCCCACCTTGCAGTTTCCACAAAAGCATTCAAGTGATTATTCAGAGAGGAATTAATCATTGCTCTACTTTAGTGGAAATCCGAGACCCACGGCCCACGGCCATTCTGAAATTTCCTGGCATATGATAAATATTAATTTAGGGGTCTACGGAACTTCGTTTTAAAAGCCAAGTAATTAGAGTCTGCCTCTGCATTTCTATTTAGTTTTTATTTTATTATTAAAATAATAAAAAATTAATATTTCAAATTAAAATTAAGTAAAAATATATTTATTTATTATTATAATAATTTGATAAGATAGGATCATGTCAAACTCAAACTTACAAAATTTATCTTCAAATTCATTTCGAATCGACTTGAACTTATGAATTTGATGAGTACGTAATCTGATATTGAGATACCTCACCAAATAATGAATTTAACATTTAATCATATTGATAAAAAATCAGTCACAAAATTTCTCCTATCACTGTCAAATAATTTAAGAATTTTTTTGCTTGTTATTCTTTATTAATTTTCTTTCTTCGTGTTTATCAAAATGCAGCATGTTGTTTGATCAACGACAGAAAGTCGTAGGATTTGAACTCTAGCAAAAAAATTACCTCGTGCTTATCATAACTATGCTAATTGAATTATCAATAATAGGTATTTTGGAAGGGAAGTAGATGTATATAAAAAAAATTCTTTGTATATATGGGGAAAACTATAACTTGAATAGAAGATATAAATTCAAATGTGGTTCATTCTCATTAATTGAGCTAAGTTTGAGTAAGTTTTGGTCTACAAAGGAGAACAGAAAATTTATGAATGATAGGAATTGCACGCATTTCACGCTTGAAAGACTAAGAATAGCAATGATCTAGCAGACCCTATCTTTATTATATAAAATTAAGCAAACCCTATATAATTAATGTAATGAAATCATGGTAATCAACGTGGAATAGCATAAGGAGTAAAAAGAGTTGATACGTGGAAAAACCGTAAAAGGGATTGCGGACTCACTTTCTTAGGCACCATGGTTTTAGTCAACGTTCCAGGTAGGCTATCACATCTGAAAAGAAAACAAAATTGTTTTATTTTTTCTCTATATATATATATATATATATATATACATTTTCTCTAGATCTAATTGACTTACATATTCAAAGTTTCTCAAAGTAAATGTACAACTTAAGTAAGCTAATGAGAGGCGTTATTATATTACCATTGATTTTGAGCTTTTAGATTTGCATTATTGTTAAGGAGGGTTTTTTATTTTCGAATGTTGGGAGGAAGATTCATGACTCTATAATAAAGAAATATATGTATCCATTATCATATATTATGTCTAAGTGGCCATTTAATTATGTCTAAATCTGTGGCTTTTGATTATAAGTGATTTGCTTTCTCGACTAACTATGGAAATGGAAATAGAAAAATATAGGTATAATATCGAAAAAGAATTCATAAAAGATTTAGAAAAATTTAAGTTAGTCTTAATTTTTTTTATTTTACTTAATTAAGTTTTTATATTTTTATTTTAAGTAAAATAAATTTTTATATTTTTATTTTGAGTCAAATAAATTATTATAACTAATGATTGACTTAGTCAAAATGTAATCTTTCTTAAAAATCTTTAAAAGTTCAATCTTCACATCAAAAAACTTTGGTTAAAAGTTATTAATCTTTAAATTTAATTAAGTGCTTTGGTCAGTGCATAATTATGAACTCTATACTAAGTTCTCCTCATTATTTATTTTTGGTTTGCATAAGATTAAAGATTGGACTTTCAATCTAGCCCTTCAAAATTTAGTGTATATTTTACTTGATCAGAATAACAGGCCCACTGAATACACCTTTATTCTGCAAAACCCATTGTGATAATAAAGGGCCTCTTAGTGCAAGTTTAATAATCATGTTCTCTCACTTACTAGCCTCTCATCAAATAGTCCATTGTTGAAATACAATGAAAAGCATTCCTCAGTCTTGCATTAGCTGAACACAGTTACATCTATTTTCAGTAAACTATAACTTGAAACACCACTTTTATTCTCTCATCAAAATGGAAACATGGGACAAGTAAAGAGCACACAAATCTAGCTATTACATTACCAAACAGACCCAAATGTGAGCTTCTTGCGGTACAAGTAATTGCATACCCATAGTCGCCCAAAACACGTACAGCTTACGGCCACCATCCTCCAGTTTTCGATAGTAAGCACACCTCCAAGACTTGATGAAAAACAGGGGAGCCACTACACCCCAAAACCCCATCACAAATCCTAGCACTATGCTCACGTAAAGCCCATTCACCTTAGGCCCATCACTTCTACCTCCATTTGTAACATTAGTTGTTCCGCCATTTGCACTGCAGTTTTTAGTAACAGGAGGTCCACAGAGATGATTGCCGATATAAGAAAACCTGTCAAAGCTTTGGAGTTGGGTGCTTGATGGGATTTGTCCTGATAAGTTGTTGTGTGACAAGTTCAGGTGATTCAAGAAATGCAAACCGGACAAACTTGAAGGGATTTCACCATAGAGTCGGTTCATCGACAGGTCAAGAGATTCCAATGACTTCCATGTTGCCGATGTTCTCTGGTATCTTACCCGTTAGGAGATTTCCTGACAAATTTAATGACAGCAGCCCCACAAGATTTCCAAATTCTTTGGAGATCTCTCCTTTAAGACTGTTAGCTGAAAGGTCTATGCTGGTAACAAGTCCTAGTGTGGTACTGTATTCATCCTCTCTTCCTTTCATAACCAGCAATGCATCATAAATAAATTTGCTTCTAGTGTAGGTTCCCCAAGACCATGCAGCCACGTATTCATTTTTGTTTTTCGTGGCCATGGCCCTTAGGTTACTAAAACATTTTGGAATAGCTCCTGAAATGTTGTTAGAAGCAAGGTCCAAGATCTGAAGAGAATGAAGAGCACAAAGTTTGTCAGGAATTTGGCCGTGGAATTTATTTGAACGGAGGTTTAGAACCACAAGTTGTGAGAGCTTGTCTCCCATCCATGCCGGTATACTTCCAGTGAACTGATTTTCACTAAGATCAAGAATCATCAAATCAGCAAAATTTTGCAATGCGGACGGTAATTCTCCAAACAGGCTATTGTTCCTGAGGTTTAGTGAGTTAATAAAACGCATAGATCCCAAGGATCTAGGAATTTTCCCAGTTAGAATGTTGTTTCCTAACTTTAAGACCTCTAAATATTGCCAATTTTCCCTACAATCAGGAATTTCACCTGACAGAAGGTTTGATTCAATGCCAAGAATGATAGGTTGCAGTTTAGTTGAAGAATTACAAAGAAAATCAGAAAGGGTTCCTGAAAATAAATTTTTAGACAAAAAAAAAAAAAGTGTAAATTTGGAAACAGTCGTGGCAATGGACCATTAAATTGGTTGGAACTTAAGTCAACCGATTGACTGATGGGCAAATATGTAACTTCCTCGGTAAGTTGGTTATGAGAAAGATTTAAATTTTCCATTTGAGAAGAAAGGTTCCAAAACCAAGTGGGAATGACACCTGTAATTGTAGCCACTGAGGAAATTGTGGGCCAAGATCCCACTTACCCAATTCAATAACTTCACAGCTAAAAGGAGGAATCCAACTTGGGTTTGGTTTCAACATACTATTGGATGCTCAATCGGGTGAGATTAGAAAAGTGCATTTCTGATACATCTCCTTCCAACATATTATTACTAACATCTAAAATTTCTAAATTCCCAAGCTGTCCTAAACTTTGAGGAAGAGGTCCAGTTAATTGATTGCCTGAAACATCAAGAAGTTTCAAGGATGACAGCATCCCTATTGAGGATGGAATGGGAGCAGAAATGGAGTTTCCTCCGAGGGAGAGGTATGCTAGATTTTTAAATTTTCCAAGTTCATCAGTTAAATGGCCAGAAAGTTTGTTAGATTGCAGACTCAATGACTCAAGTTATCCAAGTTACATCTAGGAAAACTTTGTAAGATTTTTGATAGCTTTTCATCTATTTTGTTGTTTGACAAATCCATCTCCCTTAATTTGCGAAGACTTTTCAAACATTGGGACATTGTTCCTTCAAGCTGGTTATATGAAAGATCAAGATGAGTAACAGAGCTCAACTTTCCAATGGCACTCCAAATATTATCTTGCAGGCCAATTCCCCTAAGGCCAAGGAATTGAAGATGGCTTAAATTAGACAGCCCGCTGGGTATCGACGATAAAGAGAATTCATTCAAACTGTTCCAATTAAGATCAAGGGACGCAAGACTACGAAGACTGAATATCCATGTAGGTACTGAAGACAACGTGTTCGATGAAAGATCAAGAACAGCAAGGGATGTATAATTAACACTAACTGGAGATGGATCATTATTTAGATTGCAACGTAACAAATGCAGCTCTACCAAATAAGGAAGTTTGTTCGTTACCTGCAGCCAATCAGTTGCTTTACTAAGATTCACATAACTCAAATCGAGATGATGCCGAGAAGGAAGGCTAGAAACCCATTGAAGGGTTTTAGCTTCTAATTGGGAATTGTATCCAAGATCAAGATAATGCAACTTCGAGAGATTTCCAAGCTCATGGGGAATTGCTCCTCGAAAATTTGCCCAAGAGAGGTTAAGATATGTTAAACTCTTTAACGAACCGATGAACTGGGGAATCTGCATGCCCCCAAAATCGTTATTGCTTAAGTCTAGGAAACTGAGATGTTTCAAATCGAGCAAAGAAGGATTTATTTTGCCTCCTAGCTTTGACCGATCGTAAACTTCCCTTACAGCATTTGTGGCATAATCTTCAGGCATCAGACGCCCCAAATGCAGCTGATTGACATGGCCAGTCTTGTTGTCGCAAAGAACACCAACCCAGTTACAGCAATCCTCATGATCACCTTCAAACCAAGAAGATAGCCTGTTGGAATGATCAATGAGATCATGCTTGAACTTCAAAAGGGCTTGTCTCTCACTTTCAATGCAAAGCACATTGGACTTCCCATCACAAAAGCTAATAACAGTAGCTGCGGTGACAAGAAGAAATGCAAATAAGGAAATTGTAACAGCTCTCATAGTTGCATACTGATCATTGCTAGCAACGCCAAATACATAAAGTAAGTTAAAAGATGAATATTTTCAACCACATCAAGCTCAAGCAACTTTCCAAGACGTAGAATTTCCACAAAAGCATTTATAGTCCGTTGAAATTTTCGTTTTTGAGGAAGTTTCCCCTTAATTGCATAGAAAAAATGGGTGTGTGTAACGTATTTGGATGAATTTGACTATTCACTTCGGAAGTAATGATGACTATTTGTAGCCAAAAATCACCAAAATCTTACTTTGCTAAACATGATCATATAACTGCTCTTTTATTCATCTACGAAGTTAATATAATTTTATATTTAATTTATTCTCTTAAAATTTAAAAGACACTTCCTTTCCTTTTTGTATTTTTAAATTTTGAAACCTAAGGAACTAAAATGAATTTGAAGATATCTGTAAACTCTTGATTAGTTAGGGAATACAGTTTAGATCCAATAGATAGCTTGTCGCAATTCTCAAGATGAGGAAAGGAGAACTTTTTTTTTTTAAAGCAATTTTATTAGCACTAAAATTCAATGACAACTTTTTCTAGTAAAATCCTTTTTGTGGACTTAACATTATTTATTTTTATATTCTGTCAAAATTAAGTTAAGATATTTTTTTTATATAATTGAGAGAAGTGGGATTTGAACTCTGGTCTTTAAGCAAATGGATAATGCACCAGAGTCAAATGCTCGGGTGCTAAGTTAAGATAATTTGGCTTTGATAAAGTGACAATATTATAATCTATAATATGATCTAATAAAGTGAGTTAGACTCTAATGTTATATGTGAACTTAAAAGTGTAGTCTGTGTAAGAAACCTTAAATCCTATAATGGGTGAGACTAAGGATTCACTATATAAAGGCAAGGCTAGATCCCTTTTTTGTTTACAACAACATAAAATATCCCATCCCTTGGAGAGTCATAAAGAAAAAGAGAAGAAGATCATAGTATATTGAGTATCAACAGTTAATCTAGTCAATATTATTTTTATTATATTATTTTATGATTAAATTACAAATTAAAAATTAAAAATTAAATACATCTTAAAATTCTACTATATTGAATCTTAGATTAATAATTAGATCTTGAATTAGTATAAATTATTTATAAATAAAATTTTTCGCTCCATGCTTGTTAAAGACTTCTTTTAGCATTTAAGCCTGGTTTGTGCATCCTTTCATTTTGGGCTCCCAGCCATAAAAGCTTCGAATTAATCAAAATTCAGCCTCTTGTTTGATTGAAGGACAGAAAGTAGAACCATTTACTTGGCATCATGCACGTGGCGCTTTCTCATTATTGCTTTCCAAATCCACTTCGATTTCTAGCTTGCATTATTTGTCCACAAAAGCGTCCAAGTCCATAGTGGAATAATTGGCGGTCATAAATGCTGTCCAGCTATAGAATGTCACAAGTAGAGAGGAAAGAGTCAAACCCACCAATTGTACTAAGTGCCAGGGACCTGCAGGGTCACGGCTTAGGACTACCGGGAAATTTCTTACTATATGGTTGCAACATTCCCACACTTTTAAATTCACCAACTAGCTTATATAATCTCTTTAACCCTTGCCAAACAAGAATTTAATCCTATATATATATATATATATATATATCACTCACAAAACTCCTCATATGAATTTAGAGAAGTTAATTTGCAACAAAATTAAACAATTAATTTATTATGGAATCAAAAGCCTTCACTAAGTCAGTGTTCCTAGCGGCCTAGAAGCCTTTCAGCTCTAGAATTCAATTAAAATTCAGACAAGGGTACCATTTTTTTTTTCTAAACAATAGGAAAAGCTGATGTGGCACATGGTTATTGGGGTGTAAAAGTTTGGATTTTACTTTTCTATTCGATCCCCTCTCGGTCCATAACTGTTTAAAAATCCTATGCCCATAGGGACTATGAAACTCTTGTTTAATTTGGATATATAAACCCTCATCCCTCAAGCTAGTCTGGATTTTTTAAAATTTTGATTGAATTCTAAAGCTGAAAGGCCTCTCTAGGTGTTGTTCTTAAGAATCCAAAACAATTTCTTGCTTATTAATTCAAATTTATTCGTGTACACAATAAGCAACTGAAAAACAATCAACAAGCGATCTGTTTGGGGTAGGAGGGAATTCTTCTTCTTATTAAAATGCGTTCTTGGTTTTGTGTAAGAGTCAATGAAAGTAATAAGTTGATTTAGGATGTGGATTGGTGGAATAAACCTTGGAATTTTTTTGCCCTTTTAAATATGAAGAGAGTAGAATTGAGGTAGGAAGGTGAGTTAAAATATAATGTTAATGTCTCTATTAGAGGAAAACGCCGACAAGTTGTGGAGGTGTTTTAAGGGATAATGTGAGTGTGATCTCAGGGGATTCATGACTTTAATTATGCTAAAATTATAACTCTAATTATGCTAAAAAATGAATATTTTCAACCACATCACGTTCAAGGAACTTTCCAAGGCCCTGAATTTCCATATTGCATTTTCCACAGAAGCATTTACAGTCCGTCCTCTTAATTCCATGGAAATTTTCGTTTTTAAAAAAGATTCCTCTTAATTGCATGGAAAAAGTGAGTTTATGTACTGTATTTGGATGAATTTGGCTACATGCATAACATGTAAGGGAAGTGACTGTTCACCTAGGAATTAATGCGTAGAAGAAAGAAGAAAAGTTGAAAAGCAAGTCAAGTCCACCGAGTTTTATTTGAGTAAGTCTCACGGCCACCGTCACGGCCCACGGCTATTCCAAAATTTCCAGACATATAACAAATGTTTGATGCTTGATTTGCGACTGCTTATCCACAGGTCAAGTCAACACAACCCCCTTTTAGAAGCCAAGTTAGAGCTTTATCCAGCACGTCTATTTATTTATTTTTATTATTATACTATATAATCTTATTAGATTTGTTTACACTGAAATCTGAAAGTTTTTAGTGCAAGTCTGACCCCAATCAAGACGAAGGGAATCAGTCACAAAATTCCTCCAATCACTATCCGATAATTTAAGAACATTTTTGCTTTGTTATTCTTTGCTTTTTGTTAGTGTTTAATGGAATTTTATTATAAGGTAGGGATTTGGATAGTATGAGCAAAATCTTTTTTTTTCTTAGAAACACATTGCAAAACATCTAAAATAATTCAATCACTAATAGTTACTTTTATATAAGAGGGATTTTATAGTTTATATTCAGCTACGAAGTTAGTATAATTTTAAATTTAATTTATTTTCTCAAAATTTATTTTTAAATTTAATGGTTTTAAGATATCTTCAAACCCCAAGAATTAAGGAATATAACTTATTAATTCGAGTACATAGCTTGTCGCAACTCTAATTAAAGAGGAGGAAAGGAGAACTTTCGTATTGGCCTCCCTGCTATAAGGGCTTCAAATTAATCAGAACTCAGCCTCTTATTCGATTATGGACAGAAAGTAGTACCATTTAATCTCTAGCAAAAGAAAATTACGTAATGCTTATCATAATTGGCGTCATGCATGTGGCGCTTTCTAAAACCTCTTCAATTTCTAGCTTGCATTATTTTTCCACAAAAGCGTTGGAATAATTGGTGGTCATAAATGAAAGAAAGTGAAAAACAAAGTCAAGTCCACCAATTCTATTGAGCAAGTTCCAGGCTCTCGGCTTGGGGCTGCGGGGAAATTTCATAACGATTTAATGATTAAGAAAAGAAATACAATTAAATTAATATCAGTAGATTATGTGGTATTGAAATCTATAATTTAATGAACTTGCTTTTGATTTATTTTTCCATTTTAGAAATATTACCCTGATTTTTCTGTTGATCATATCTCATTTTTATTTTCTTTTTCTTTTTTGACAGTCTTTGAAAATTTAAGTGAAAATCAAACGAGAAAGGAGGAGGAGAAAAGGAAAAAACGAGAATTGAAGATGAAAAGACCAGTTATAACTTACCAACCATTGATTAATTACGTTTTTATATGCTATAATTAGCCTTTTTTTAATTTTTTTTCTTTTCATAAAATAAAAAAGCTCTTATCGGCTTTAACGTTCAAACTTCACAAGCTTAAAATTCAATCAAAGTGTGGAAGAAGAATAGCAAGAAAAGAAAGAGAACAGGGAGTCAAGTCAAGTAGTCAGCCAAGTTAGGGACTATGGAGTAAGTCCCACGGCCAGGGTCCAAGGCAGTCCAGATACTTCCTGGCATACGTATACGTTAATAACAAGCAGCCACCCCACGTTTACAGTCGGATATAATTTTTAAAAAAAAATTAAGAGAAGGATTCCAAACTGTTCATTGAGTCGAGAAATACATACACTTATGGTTATGTTTATTACCCCTTGGCTCTCATCTAGTGGAGGTCCGTCAAGTTGATTGCCAATATAAGAAAACCTGTCAAAGCTTTGGAGCTGGGTGTGTTAGATAGTTTGTTAATATTGGTCTTATTAATGAAAAGTTGTGATTAAAGAATTATAAATAATTATTTTATTAGATATAATTTTATAAATAATTATATTATGAAAGGTTATTAAATATAATTTTTTTATAAAAAATTATATTATGAAAGAAACAACTTTTAAACAGTCATCTTATAAAAGAAAACGGACTGTTTACGTTAAAAAGACATGCATGTTTCCTTTATTATATAAATAATATTTTTAAATTATTATTTTTATTATTTTGATAAGTGTATTAACGATTTTGTAGTATTTTCGAAGTTGAAAAAAAACTTTAAAAAAAGTGTTTTGTTTATGCCTTAAAAGTCATATTCTCCTTCTTCTCAAATATTTCTAATAATCTTAAGGTATTCTTTAAACCTTTTTCGCAATTCTTTCATGATGGAGATTGTGCTGGATTCAACTGTGAAAGTTCACATCCAAAATCAAGAAGTGATCAAACTCGACAAATTTGATGTAACGAATTTCACTAGATGAAGGGACAAGATGGTATTCCTATTAACCACATTGAAGATTTATTATTTTCTTGAGACGGATCAATTATCAAATTCAAAAGAGACCATGTTAGCAGAAGAAACATCTTCTAAAAATATTACTACAACAACAACTGCTACCTCAACCATTAC